GAAAGGAGACCCTCAATCCTAAGAGCCCCAATGGCCCCGACGGGAGGCCAGGAGATCCTCGGGCATCCCTGTTAAGGGTGGGGATGGGCAGGAGAAAAAGGGGGAACCACGGGACAAAAACAGGGGTAAAAAGGGGGAGACCAGGGACTGACCCGCCACCCCCTCGTTCCCACCCAAACAATGTGATAATGTGCTTCTGGTATAACAGGCGTAGTGGGGCGCTGTCAGATCCGCTGAGCTACATAGGGATCCCGGGACTGGCCAAAAACAGGGCGAGAGACATACCTGGTGACCCACCCCAAGCTCCCCATGTACTGCTGAGATCCCGCACCCGCGTCCCCCACCCAACAGAAAATGAAAAACAAGGCCCCATCACCAAAAATAGAGGATTGGCCTGAAGAAACAATCATAACGAGACTCTCTGAATACGATACCGCTATTCGTTAGCGCTGGCTTCTGGGCCCCACTCCACGCCACTCCGTCTGAAGCTGTGGAAGCTCCGCCGGGCCCATCGTCAGATCAGGTAGGTCTGGGGGGGACTGGATTCCCAAGCCCTGGAGTAAGCGCTTCGGATCTCCACCTGGTGACAGGACGTGGGCTCTCCCCTCGCGGAACACCATTAGCTTGAAAGGGAAGCCCCAGGCGTATTTCAGGCCTGCTCCTCGCAGAGCCCCGGTTATGGGCCGCCAGTCTCTCCTCCGTTGTAATGTCGAGGGAGCCAGGTCTTGGAAAAAAGATATTGTGGCTCCGGCGTGCCGGATCGGCCCATCACGGCTCTTTTTCATCAGGGCTTCTTTTGTTTTGAAATAGAGGAATTTTATTATTACATCCCTCGGGGCGTTGGCTTCGGCCCTCTGCGTTTTCATCGCCCTGTGAGCTCTCTCCATGTGCCACTGTTCCTCTGGGATGTGTGGGAGCAGCGGCCTAAAGACTGATGTTAAAAGGCCCTGCAGGTCTTCATCCGACCCCTCAGGCAAGCCTCTTATGCGGAGATTGTTTCTCCGAGAACGGTTTGCCATATCTTCCAGGGCTAAATCCATGTCGAGCATATGCATTGTCATGCGATTTATCCGGTCGGCTGCCTCATTGTGGGCCTGAGTTGTCGCTTCCATGCGGTCTTCCAATTTTGCCGTGCGCTCTCCCAGGGCACTTATGTCGGCCTGCAGAACAGCCGTTGACTTGGCTATTTCCCCAGCAAGGAACGATCTCACCTCTGCCAATTTTGCGAGAACAGTGCTTTGTTCCGCGGATAGTGCCTCCTTGTCTACGCCGGGCGACGCATGTGGAGATACTCCGTCGCCATCTTGGCTGTCGGCCCGGCCGTGCCGATGGGCTGTGAGCAGGTCCAGAACTGAGCCGCTGGACTCCGCAGTCCTCTTCGCTTGTTTCTTGGGGAGTCTTTTTTCCATCCTGTATAGGTTAGTGAGGGGGAAAATGCCTTAAAAAGGTCGCTTTTGTCTGCTTATGGCGCCGTTGGGACGGAGCTCTAGTGAAGCACGTCTGGTCTCATCGACGGTCAGACCACGCCCCTCGAAATGGTTTTAAAATAAGTTTTATTTTCTTAAATTGTGACATTTTTGTGCACTAAAGAGTTGATTATTCACACAAATTGCTATATATGTGAATTCGTGTTTTTCACTAAATTAAGTAATTTATGCTATTGTTCACACAGATTGTTACATATGTGAATAAGTGTTTTTTCACTAAATTAAGCACTTTATGCCATTGCACTGCAAATTTGCACTTTGTGCTGTTTGAAAATATTGCACTTAAAAATCATAGCGCACCTAATTTTAGTTTTTTTTGTGATTTAATGAGTGTCTTTGGGCTAATACACTGTTTAGGTACTGCTCCATTTTTTAATTTTTAATTTTCTTAAAATTTTATTGATAGCGCCATTCTTTCACTTGTTTTATTGTGTTTGAATTGGAAACATTGCTAACCTTCCTGTAACTTCTCTTTAAACAAACATTATCTTTATCTATATTAACGGACATATGCCAACTACCTTCTTCAGGCATCTTTGTTGAAAGTGAAAGAGCCTTATGCAGAAAGCCTTTGTAATTGTATGTTTCTTAGAGAACACTGACACCTTGTGTCTATTTTATATATTACTTTGTCTGAAGAACTGAATTCCACAGTTGCTGGTTGACAACATGCACGATTCACAGCAGTATGCAAGTTGTTTGTGATCATAAAATGTGCATATATCATGCCAATGTGGTTGAATATGAACAAATGTACAGTGTGCAAAATTTACATAACACACATATCGCTGGTTTGCAAAAAGAATTACAGTTTAAGCAGTATTTGCTCAAAAGAAAGTTAACACAACTATTAGTTGCATCTGACATATACAGAGGTGAATAGGTGGATACATAAAACACTTCATACAAATAGCAATGTCATTATATAACGCAAATATTTTTGCCATATTTTTAGCACAAGAAAAGTTACATTTATTAATATGTGTATACTTCATTGTGGTTTACAAAAGGGAACTGCTCTGAAACATTTCAACAGAAAGAATCGCTTGCAAAATATGTACGCATAAATCACAAACAGATTAGAATACTCTGATCATGTCATAATTTGCAGTGTTTCACAACCTTTTATGGAGTCCTAGCACTATAATGCTCCTTTAAATTTCAAATTCACTTTGGATTCACTGTAAATTCTACTTTATTACATAACCCTGTTAGAGATCATAGGAAATCCATTTACATCACAGAAGGTTAAACATCAAAGAGGAAGTTGCATGGAATTGAATAGAGGATGTGAAGATCTTTTGAAATATTAAAGGCACAATTAAGTAAACAAACATTTTGCTTTCAAAGGAATACTTTAAGCACCACAACCACTACAACTTCCTCTAGTGGTGATATATGTCCCCTGGCACTCTCCCGTAATAAGGAGTCAAACCATTTAAGAATAGTTCATAAATTTAGCTGGATCCATCAAGCAAACGCTCTCAGCCAACGAGAGTGGCGTTGCAAGGCCCTTCTTAAATCAATGGAGCAGGGCTGCAGCCGAGGATGCCCCGGGAAGACCCATGTAAGGTGTCCTACCATTATTAAAGGCTTTGATTACTCACTCTAGGAGAGCGTCATGGCTCTCCAGCCGCCACAGGCACTAAATTGGGGTGTAGTGATTATGGTTGTTTGAGTGTTTCTTTAATATTCGACATGAAACTGATAATGAAATTCAGGCTGTATTATTAACTTGAGCCAGGTTGCTATATGTTAGTGGCTTTTTCACTGAACCCTTATTTTAAAAAATCAATTTAAAGGGACATTTCAATCACCTTTAGTACATCAGCTGAGCTGCTGTGAGAAAATGATCTTTATGTGTATATCTACTAAATTGGTTTTATAAAAAAAATCCCATTGGCGTGTTCATATAACTCCTGCACGATGCTCCACTACATTATACCTTTAACCATTAACCCTTTCCGTCTTGTGTCTTATTATTTTCCCATAATTCACAGTTCATTATTATCTATTATTATATATTTATGAGTATGTTTGGATATTTTGGAAAGATGAACGGTCTTGTTTGTGGAATTTAGAAAAAACACGCTAACGCACTTTTATTTGCCATGTACTTTATTGCAATTTCCATTAAAAAACAATTATTAGCACACAAATAAATAATACACAAACCTTACCCCAACAGATATCCTGCTTAATCTCTGCAATAAATAAAGTAAAAAATAAATATTTACACATTAACAAATATAGTGTAAATATAAATATTGTATAAATGTACATAGAAAAGCAGTTTTTCAATAATTTTTTCGAATTCTGCTTGCTGTATTTGTATTATTAGCAATTTGAGTGTGAGAAGAGTGTTAGGAAATGGGTCACTTTTTTTACTGACACTCAAATTGTTAAATTATATTTGAATTATTGATAAACATTTTAAATCCCAACACATTTCTTTGGCTCAGAAACCTTTAAATGACAATGTTGATTTCACACCTACATTATGACATTAATTAATGCAACCACTTTGCCTCAACATGAAACTTTCTTAAGAAGCAGTGTGTAAGCTCGCAAAATAAAAAAACATTTTGAAACATTTGAGATTATATGCATTGCAAAGGGTAGTCAAATTCAAAGGGCTTTCAATAAAGGAGGACACTATATTTAAAAGAAGGTAAACTACCACAAAAAGAGGACATAGTCTTAAATTAGAGGGGCAAAGGTTTATTGATTTACTGAGAGAGTAGTGGACACATGGAATAACCTTCCAGCTGAAGTGGTAGAGGTTAACACAGTGAACGAGTTTAAGCATGTGTGGGATAGGCATAAGGCTATCCTAGATATGAGAGACTAATGCAAGTATTGAGAAAATTGAGCAGACTAGATGGGCCGAATGGGTCTTATCTGCCATCACATTCTATCTTTTTATATTTCTATGGCTTGATTTACTAATGGCCGGTACAACAGCATATCTCATCAATAGTTGTGTATACACAGTATCCGTTGCTGAGGGTATCTGCAGAAATGCAGTATGAAGTCTGATACACAATACCTGTCTGTGCTTATTTGCATGTCAAGCTTGGAACTCTGGGATAGTTGCAGAAACATGATTTTTCAAGTTTCTATGCCCAAGAAGGACCCCTCAAAGTCCAACTTGAGATAAGCAGGTGATGCATAACGGTAATTTATATTTGCACCGTGGTGAGTTGTGGCGTTTTTTGGCCTCACCACAATCATGTTGGTACCTAACCCTTTGAGGTCAGACCCCTGGGAGAATTTATCTTGTAATGTTAATGTTAAATGTCTAGTCAGATCTTTTGATTCATGATGATTTATGGCTAAAAGTTGAATTTTTTTATTGAAATTATTGCTGACTGATTAAAAGATTTGTGTCTTACTGTGGAATGGATAATTTTATTTGCAATTCTTATCTAATAATAATAATGTGCTGAATCAACCAGTTGTCATGGGAACATACATAAAATGTATAACACTTTGTTTTTGATTTTAAAACAGTTATGGAAAATCCATAAGTTGTGTGGATGTCTGTTTTTCAGCCTGTTGTTCTGTAGAATTCTGAATGTTGTGTTGCGTGCTGTTGTCACTTTTGATATTAACGAAAACCTGACTCCTCCATCCTCGTAGAGCTTTGTATATGTCTTTCCTCACATTTTCACTGACTAATACATAGATAAAGGGGTCGGCCACACTATTCATTGTGACCAAGCAAAGAAAAGCAGAATAAGTGGTATAAATCGCTTCTTCAAAGCTGCAGGAATTGGCGTTATCCAAAGAAAACATTATTGCCCTGAGAAGCAGCACCAGGTGATACGGGGCGAAACAAATCATAAATATAATTATTATGGTCCTCGCTAGCCACTTCACTTTTGTCTTCTGATGGTCTGTGAAGCTACTGCTTGTTTCAATTCGCCTTTTTATGGTGTAGTTGGTAAATATCAGGATTAATAAAGGAATCAGAAAACCAATTACAAATCTGGCAAAATAAAACCGAGCGATCAGTGGGTCCATCGGAAGCTTTTCAAAGCAGGGATCGCCATCTTTTTCTCCGTCATTAAATATGAATGTTGGAGAGTGCGTCAAACCTACCAACACACATAGAATACAAGTGACCAAAATAGCAACTCTTTGACGTCTAATTCCTCTGGATTCCAGGGAGAATTCCACTGCTATAAAACGGTCAATTGATATGCAACATAGCAGGAAGATACTGATGTATATGTTGTTAAAAAAGATATACCCTGTAATTTTGCAAGCCATTGGACCCCATATCCAGTTGTGTCCATTCTTTACATAGAGGATCCAGAGAGGTAGTGTCCCCAAGTACATCAGTTCACTTATCGAAAGACTGAAGAGATAAACTGCCAATACGTTTTTTCTACGTATTTGTATCAATGTCAGTACTGCTGTTAAGATGTTTGCTGGCAATCCAATCACTAGGATAATACTGTACATTGCAATAACAGCTTGCTCACTCTCACTGTACGGTGGGTTACATTGTTCGGTAGAATTGTTCGATGCGTTGGCCATTTTGATTTCTGACATTTGTAATTGTCTGGTTCAAATTCCTGTTTCATTTATAAGTTCTGTAAACGAAAAGGGGAAAAAAGGAACAATATAAAAAGCATAAAATTTACGTTAGGATGCATTTTTTTTTATATACAATGTTAAAAATATCGAAAACACATGCATTTTGTATTGACTGACTAAATATTATTCTGTGAGTAGAATTCTCCATCCCAGAATGAATTTGGTTTCTTATACAATTAATAATGTAAAAACAATCACGCCTTTCCAATGTTTTTAACAGCATATTATTGATTTGGCAAGAAAGGGCCATGTATCTTATGTTAAGCAGTCAAGCATAAGATTTATGGACACAGCCAATTTCTCTCATCAAATCTGACCACCAACAGGACTTGATGAACCACTGACTACAAATTTCTAAATGGCTTAGTGTAGATAAGTGCTATCCAGAGCTACAAACATTGAGCCCGGTAAGTTGCATTTAAGTCAATGACCATTTCAAACACTGGCTGCCTTTCTAGCAAATGTGTTGTAAAAAAAAAAATCAAAAACAAAAACAATACATGCAATTCTGTCCAAAGTTCAGAAACTAATTAGAAGTGAAAATAAGCGATGGCCTATGATCAAGGCTTAGACATTGATACCCAAGACCTGGATATTGATTCTAGCGGCTGGACAGCAATGTCTGCCCAGCCACTAGTTTTTAATGTTTAGTAGATATGCCCCCATCTTGATGGCAGGTAAGGACATATGGAGGTACTTTATCTCCATTGTAGTAATATGGTGGTCTTGTTGGCCCCCAATATTATTTTTTATTTATTTATTTTAACTTTTTCCATGTGGTGGCTGGCTAGTTGTATTACTGGCCCTTAGAATGGCTGGATTTAATGTTACCTAGAGAAGTAATAGCAAGAGACAGCCAAATCACTATAATCGCGCTATTTGGACCTATAAAAAACCACAACAGGTAAATGTGCACCAGGACTTGAGAGGATTATATAGTGATTAGCCCCATCATCTTGTGTAATATTGTTGCTGGAGAGACGCAGGTCTCCCCGTGTCCTAGTTTGAAGCAGAGTTATTCGGCTTATTAAGGTAAACAGGTTCAGAGCATCCTGTGTCAAACTTTAGGAGGACATTATAGTCATTAAAACAACTTTAGCTTAATGAAGCAGTTTTGGTGTATAGATCATGCCCCTGCAGTCTCACTGCACAATTTTCTGCCATTTAGGATTTAAATCACTTTTTGTATACAGCCCTAGGCACAGCCTCCTGAATGTGACTTACACAGCCTTCCAAAACACTTCCTGTACAGAGTCATCTAATGTTTACACTTCCTTTATAGCAAATTATGTTTAATTTAGAATGTCTTATCTCCTGCTCTGTTAATAGCTTGTTAGATCCTGCTGGAGCCTCCTGTATGTAATTAAAGTTACATTTACAGAGCCGGTGATATAAACTTTTAAAGTGATTGAAAATTAAACCATTTTGTTTTCATGGAGGATGTGTCGGTCACCACCTGTTGATGGGTGACTATAGTTGCATAAACAGAATCAAAAGTAATTTAACTCCTAAATGGCAGAGAATTGAGCAGTGGAACTTCAGAAACAAAATTTATATACAAAGTCTGCTTCATTAGACTAAAGATGTTTTAGTGACTATTTAATGACTATAGTGTCCCTTTGATATTCCATGAGGACTTCTATATTATCTCTAAATTGTATTCGCTCAATATATATCAACAGAACAAACCAAGAAAAGAAAATATAAGATTGTGTGCATTTACATAAATGTGTTTTTTTAGTTATGAACATCAACCTATAAATGAACTTATTTTATCCTGTGTTCTGAGCCACTTGTTTCAAGCTAATGTTATGGTAATAGCTTTTTATCCAAATAGGAAGTGAATATTTACATTTTGTTTGGAGATCATTTCTAACAACCCCCACAACTAATCATCAGAAACAACCACCCATGGGAAAGTTTTTAAGTATTTCTTGTGAACTTCCCTGTGCTCTATTAATGTTCCTTGTTTCTGTTTAACGTTACCATATTTAGATTACTTCCTTTTAAGTCTGTAATATGAAAGCAGGTTAATTTCCATCCAGTCTCACTTGTATAAACCATTTCAAATTCCCATAGGTACAAACATCCATTTCACGTTTTAATAAATAGAAAAAGGAGCAATTTAATATTAAGTAGATTTCACTGCAAACATGGTCCTAATATTGTCACTGTTATAGTTACACACAGTGCTGGTGGAAGGAATTTTGGATGTTTGTTTACACAGGCGAAGATGCATTTTGCCGCCCCCAGAATTTGTGTACACGTGTCACGACAAGGGTGCATAATTTATTATTACACTACGGAATATTGCTATTTAATATAACTTGGTTAGTGCATCAATAATTTGATCCCTGCGTAGAGGACAAATGGCAAAGAGAAATTGCTCTTTTGATCAAAAGGGGCTTCTGCAAGGTGTGACAAGGATTGCCTTTCTGATCTATCAAAGGCCCTGCAAGGTGAGACATTTTACACTTGAGCCACCTGTATGTCTAGTTTCAGTGTAAACTAACTGACTTTGACCATATGGCCTGATACTCTCTATTGATAGTTCAATCCTTTGATATGGTAATGGTATTAGTTTCATGAAGACCCGTGTGTTCCAGTATCATATTCAAGAGAATATGATACTGGAACATTAATACTTACCCACAGCTTAATAATTAAGCCTCATTTTTTTTATATTTAGAATTGGACAAGCCCAATCTTTTAATTAAGCCTAAACATGAGTTGCACAACTTAAACCATGTGGCAGGAATTGTGATGTCCTATTGGATCGCGGGTGGGGTGTGCGACGTGTCTATGGGATGGGAAAATAATAATAAATTCATAGATGCAATTATTATTTCTGTGGCAAGTACATAAGAGACGATAGAGCAAAATGTTTCCATTTGGATTGACGTTGGTCTGGAACAAAAGAGGTGGTCACTCATTATTTCTATAAGTATGCCTTAACTCCACCCCTGGGCAAGACTTGATAATCCACAGGGTATGAATTCAATGATTTGGAGGGGTGTTGGTGTACTTGCTTGGGGCCAAGATCTAATTTTGAGTGAGTCACCATCATCCTTCCTTGCCAGAGACCCCCTGGGCAGAAGTTTTACTTTGAAAAACTAAGTGAGTAATTAGGACTTCTGTTATTTTATCCTTTTTGTTTTTATCTGTTGGTGTAAATAATTTGTTTATCATATATTTTTTGTATGCGCTGTGACTAATTTTTGTTTATAATAAACATTCATTTATTAAGTTCTGCCTTTGTCTGGTTAAGAATCACGTTACCTGAAGAGACTAATTAGTATTTTGCAATTGCATCTCTTTTGAGCATCATACCGCCTTTTTGTTTCTTTTTTACCTCTTTTACATTTTGTGTCCCCTGTTTGTCATTCTTTTCATGCTTTTGAGCTTTTATCCCAACTTTTGTGGCCTCTTAAACCCCTTTTGTCTTTTATCACCCTTCTGAATGTCTATTCCACCCTTGGATGTATCTTATCTCTTTTGCCCCCTTTTCTCTCTAACCCACCTTTGTGTCTCTCTCCCCCCTCTAATTTTCTTACTCCTTTCTTTAGCATATGTATGTGTGTATAATATATATATATATGTAAACACTCTCCGACACACACTATTGCTTACTGACCCCCATACTCACTCTCAATTATGTTTTATTAATCCATATACACACAGGCACTCACTGGCTCTTACTCACACACACACATACACACTAAGACACTTGCTCTTACACACACACACTAAGACACTGGCTCTTACACACACACACACACTAAGACACTTGCTCTTACACACACAATAAGACACTGGCTCTTACACACACACACACACACACACATACATACATACACACTAAGACACTTGCTCTTACACACACACACTAAGACACTGGCTCTTACACACACACACTAAGACACTTGCTCTTACACACACAATAAGACACTGGCTCTTACACACACACACACACACACACACATACATACATACACACTAAGACACTTGCTCTTACACACACACACTAAGACACTGGCTCTTACACACACACATACACACTAAGACACTGGCACTTACACATACACACACACACACACACTCACTAAGACACTAGCTCTTACACACACTCACTTACTGTTTCTTTTATTTGTTAAACAAGGGTCCTACCAGTGACCAGGTATTGCTGTCCAATTGAAGTTGAAGTCTGGGCTTCTCTCTTTACAGTACTTGGCTGCATCTTTACAGAACGTAACCGTCAGGAGAGGGGTTCTCTCTGCTCCCATCACCCAGACATCTTTGTGCCCCTCGCTGCCTGTGCCGCCTTATGGTAGCACAGGCCCTAGTTACACATGTATATATGTGTATAAATCGGAATGGAAGACTTCAAACATCATAACTACTGCAGTACACTGTAGTGGTTATGGTGTTATGGAATACCCTGGCACCCTCCCATGGTAAGTAGTCAGCAATTGGCAAATGATTTGATAACAGCCTCAGCCTTTAATAGATTAATTAACAAATGAAAATTGCAGGGTGTGTGTTGGTATTTCTGTTTGCATAGTTCTGCAGGAGTAAGGCTGGGTCCATGAATTGTGCAGGGTCTTTGATAGTCCGGCACTCTGGGGGTTTGTGGATGAGCTAAAGGCATGTGTTCAGCATCCTCTCCAGGCTCAGATTATTCCACTGCATATAATCCCAGGTAGATTTATCAGGCTTCCCAACAGTCCCGATTTCAGGATCTTGTCCCCCAGTTCCCCTTCAGTTCCCTGGTGTCTTGCATCTGAGGACACCAGTAAACTGCAGGTTGCACAAAGCAAGTGCAGGCTAGGGGTTGGTCAGATTGCCTGTCACCACTCTTGGGGATCACCAGTGATGTGGATCATGTTACTGGTGATGCCCCCTGAGCACCCCGTCTACCTTGTCCTGATTCCATATCTTCCATCGTTAGGAGATATGGATTTATTTAGGTATAAAGTGTCAAGCTAACACACATCACAAACAGTGCAGTATTTATAGTAAAACAAGTGGTTAATGTATTTAATTAAAGAAAAGAAAAAGTTACCTGCGCTCTCTCCTTAATCCCTATGTGTATTTAGACAAATGGAGGTCATTTAGTTGCTCCAATGGCCATTGGAGGGAATGCCCGCCTGCCAATGTCAAGGCCTTGACATTGGCAGGCGGGCATTCCCTCCAATGCCCATTGGAGCAACTAAATGCTGCCTTGATGTTGGCAGGCGGGCATTCCCTCCAAAGGCCATTGGAGCAACTAAATGACCTCCATTTGTCTAAATATACAAAGGGATTAAGGAGAGAGCGCAGGTAACTTTTTCTTTTCTTTGGTTTTTACTATATATTGGGGCTGATGTGTACTGTAGTCATTGCTGCTGGCCCAGTAGTGATGGGAGTGAGTGCAGGACTTATCTTTTTGTAATGTATTTAATTGATCGCTATCATCAGCTCATCGATGAACTGGCAACTTTAAGCTTGGGAGGGGGATGTGGGGGGGGGGGTCAAGTGCAAATTGAACGATCCACCTACCCGTCCAGTCAGTTGTTTCTAATGAATATTTATTTCTTAATTAAATGTGCAAACAAGGTTTATTTACTAAATAAGGAATTTTGGAGAACTGACCAAGAATTTGCAGATTTTAAGCAGTGCCATATGGTTATAGTCTGTGGTCTCTATTTCAGTAGTTTGACTGACATACTTGCACACTTTGGCTAATGTAGGGTCGGTCAGGTGAGAGGCGTGACGTTGCCCCTTGTAAACATGCATGGTATCCCGGTGTGTATGTGTGCCTGCCAGCATGACAACCTGCCAAGTAAGCCTGCCAAGCAGGACTACCCATAAATAGAATGTTACTGATGCACTCACATATTACTGAAATGTCCTGGAATACCTGCCTAGTGCAGCACCAGCCAGTTTAAACACATTCACCATGCACATTTTTGGTGTCACCTAAGACAATGTGACAAGGATGCCAACACAGGACTCTCCCACAAATTGAGGACTCTTGGAAACTACGGGTTGGCAAGACTTAGAATGTTTAGTAAAATCATCCTGTTGGACCTGAATTGCTATTCAAGCACTACTTGTTATAAGATGCAGTGGACAAACCACAGTCTCATCTCATCCATACATACTCCTCATTGTCTGGCAGCTCGGTTAGTCTCAGACACTGCAGTCCTTTGTGAAATACCCGGTCCAGCCAAAGAGATCAGCAGCCACAAGTCCTAACATTAAACGACTGCAAAAAAACCTATACGGCTGTGAGGCTGCAGTCCAAAACCTCTGCATGTATGTGGACTGGAGGCAATTGTCCACTTCACCCCCCGGCAACCTTACACCTGCCTTGATGGCAAATATCGCTAATCTCCTAATATTGTATTCTTTCATGACGACTGGGGTAACTGGAGTTTGGAGAACTTTGCCAATGGCACCTACAAGAATATAACAGAGTGTGCACAGCAAGGAGAGGTCTGATTCTTTGGAACAAAAAATATCCTGTTACCCTACCTTGTCACCACTCAGCATCTCCATGCAGATATGCAACAAGTCTAGTGTTTGTCCAAGCATCATATCCACTACAGCCCACTGTAATAGTCAAGATGCCAGGAGAGCCCAGGCGCTATCCCAGGATTATCTGTCAAACTATTTTAGATCTGTATTGGGTCCCGCCAGATGTCGGGTGAAGCCGCTAGATGTTAGTTTTGTTCTATAGAAGAACTCTTCCTACTCATTCATTGGTTGAAAGTGCTGATGAATGAACGCCTGGCTGCCATCTTTTTCCGCTTTAAAAGACTGAATGCAGCAGAGGCCACAACAGTCACACAAGTAAATGTCAAACGGTGCTAAAACTGTTCATAAAGTAAAGTTTTGTAAACTTCCATTCACATATTTAACAAACACTGCTGTAAGTGATCTGTAGTGGCTGTTTTCTCCGAAACATTTGCAGTGTTTATTTTCTATCTTTTGACTGTAGTTTTGTGGAATTTGTTCTACACGTGCCCATGTACTAAGCTGACATCAATCCAGTCCACATCAATAGCTTATCAGATACAATTATCTTGTTACAACTGAGGCTGTGAGTGAATTTATTCCATGTAAAATGTTGAAGTTACTAAGAATTTCTTACATCATGTGATAGCTTTAATTTCACAAAACTATCTGTAGGCTAAAAAAAGAAAAACAAATATTGCTGATGTCTCTACTTTTCTCCAAATGTCATCACGAAAGAAAACAACTGTATATTTTTCTTCTGTTGAACTTAACAATATTTAAGAAAAATAGGCCACTTTGTCTTACAGCCGCTTTGAATTCACCTTAAATTCTCACTTTAGTAAATAACCCTGTAAGACAGGGGTTTGGGAACCTTCGGCCCTCCAGATGATCTGCACTACATTTCCCTTAATGCTCTTACAGCCATAATGCTGGCAAGGCATCAAGGGAGATGTAGTCCAAAACATCTGGAGGGCCAAAGGTTCCCCACCCCTGTCTTACAGGGTTATTTACTAAAGTGAGAATTTAAGGTGAATTCAAAGTGAATTACAAATTTAACGTCAAAATAGCCAAAATGGAACAATTCTCGAATGCAGCTATGCTTTCAGTTTGGCTACTCTGTCTTTAACCCCTTAAGGACCAAACTTCTGGAATAAAAGGGAATCATGACATGTCACACATGTCATGTGTCCTTAAGGGGTTAAAGAGACACTATAGTCACCAAAAACAACTTTAGCTTAATGAAACAGTTTTGGTGCCTAGATCATACCCCTGTTGTCTCACTGTTAAAGTTTCTGCCATTTAGGAGTTAAATCACTTTGTTTATGCATCCCGAGTCACTCCCCCACTCCTCCTCCTCCCATGCAGGATACGAAGCAGCCCTAGAAAAAAATCTATGCCAGTCCCATAAGTCATTGTGCAGCCAACTCATTGACAGACAATCTCAATGACACACACAGACAAGGTTACTGGCACACACACAAATTTAGTACAGACAAAATCTGATACACACAAGCTTACTGCAAACAAGCTCACTGTCACACACACACGCTCACTACAGACAAGCTCACTAATGCGCACACACTCTCCCTACAGACAAGCCCATTGACACACACATGCTCCCTACAGAAGAGCTCACTAACACACAGATTCACTACAGACAAGCTCACTGACACACATATGGTCACTACAGACAAGCTTACGATCACACTCATGCTTACTACAGACAAGCTCACTGTACACACATGCTCACCACAGACAGGCTCCAACACACCCATGCTCCTTACAGACAAGCTCACTAACACGCACACACATATGATCCCTACAGACAAGCTCACTGATACACATACAAGCTCACTCACTAGCAGGCACACACACACACACACACACAAACTCACTAGCAGGTGCACACACACAGAGGCTCACTCACTAGCAGATGCACACACATAAAGACATCCATACACACAGAGGCAGACAGTCACTGACACCGAGGCAAACATCCACACATACAGAGACAGGCAGACAGCCACACACATACACAGGCAGACAGTCACACACACAGTTACACACAGGCAGACAGTCATACACACAGGCAGTCACACACACACACACACACACACAGGAAGACAGTCACACACACGCAGACAGTCACACACACAGTCACACACACACAGGCAGACAGTCACACCGCGCACACACACACGGGCAGACGGTCACACACGGGCAGACGGTCACACACACACACGGACAGACGGTCACACACAGGCGGTCCGCACACACACACACACACACGGGCAGACGGTCCGCACACACACACACACACAGTCACACACACACAGTCACACACAGGCAGACAGTCACACACAGACAGTCACACACACACAGGCAGACAGTCACGCACACACAGACAGTCACACACACACACACACAGGCAGACAGTCACACACACACACACACAGGCAGACAGACACACAGGCAGTCACACACAGACACACTGACCCGCTTCTTACCTCCACATCACTTGGAGCTCCTGGAGACCGGTTGTTGGGGAAGCAGGGACTCCTTCCTGCTTCCCATGCTTGCTGCATTAGCCAGGGCCCCCTGCCGCACGCTAAGCCCCGCCCTGCCGCACGCTAAGCCCCGCCCCTTCACGCATGGTCTGCCCCCACCTCAATATTATTTATTTTATACAGGACCCACCATTGTGACATGCTAAAAGAACTAAACTGGCTGTCACTGGAATCCAAACGCACCCTTCATCTTTCCAGCCTTGTGTTTAGGAGCTTTTCTGGGAAGCTCCCACCCTACCTGAACAAAATGCTCTCCTCGGCTGTTCCCACCTCCTATAACCTCCGATCCAGTACCAACACTTCATTTAGTCTAGCTCAATACAAAAAGAAAGCACACGTTATAATCCTCCTCAAGCCTAAAGTCCTTTAAGAGATCCCTCTCTACATATGTCAAAACAGAATGCACATGTCATGGTTGATTATATATTTCCTACCTGTTCTATGTTAAATTCTGTATATATTGTGTATTACTATTGTTTTTGTATTTTATTGTACCCTAATGTAACAATGCAATGTTTTGTGGACCCAGGACATACTTGAAAACGAGAGAAATCTCAATGTATCTTTCCTTGTAAAATATTTTATAAACAAATAAACAGAAACAAAGTGATTTAACTCGTAATTGGCAAAGGTTTGAGCAGTGAAACTTCAGGGGTATGATCTGTACACAAAAACTGCTTCCTTAAGCTAAAGTTATCTTGGTTACTATAGTGGCCCTTTTAAATTTGAAATTCACATTGAAGTTTCACTTTTTTAAATAACCCTATTAATATTACTATGATAAATGTTAGAAGAGGCAGAGAAAGCATTTCAGCTACCTAAGCCTTGCTATTTACATCAAGTAGGACAGTTAATCTCACATCCATCTTCCCTTCATTGCACATATAAAAGCAATAAATGTGTGCAACAAGATTTGAGAAAGGTTCTATGGATACCAGTTGGCTTTTGGAGTGTTTAAATAGATACTCTACTGCACAAATACAAAACAATAAATAAATCCATATTTATCAGATATATCCCCAATGAAAATATGCATGCATTCAAATATGCATGTCTTTCATTGGGGTTATATCTAAAACAGCTTGCAAACCCTCCCCTTCTAACCCCGCCCAGACTTTCTGTGGCTGTCCAATCACAGGCTTCCCAGTGCAGCTCAATGAGAAGTCTTTGCAAGGCAGGTTTTCTGGGCAATTGCTGCCTCTTGAGTTTAGCTCCACTGAGCTAACCAAACCAGGAAGTAACAGGACCAACTATCTGATTGACAGCCAGAAGGCTTTGTTGTAAAGTGAAGACGCTCTCTTCACACATCTAGTATTTTAGCAAGCAGAAGTGGTTTAGGTGTTTGGTATGTCTCTTTAATAGAGGACTTCTGTTACTCTCATGCATCACACTTGATCAGTGATGCATCTCCACGCAAGCAATGCTGTTGAAAATACAGCAGTAGCTAGGAGAGTGATCTGATGTAAACATTGTATTGAATGGCATCTTAAAACCAATCTACATTTTAATACTTTTACATATATTCCTAGAGAGAGCATTTTAAGCTGTTATATATTTTCACCATTCTTGCAATTTTTTTAAATTCACATTTATAATATCAATGCTGACATAAGTTGAGTGAAAACTGTGATTTGTGCCATGTTGACAACAAAGTTACGAGTTTTGAGCCAATTTAGTCATCTAAGGAAAGAAAAATCCCGATTTGATTTAGACGAAGATGTATGTTCCAACGTGACTATTTTGGCATTCATTTTGCAAATTCGGTTTCAAATCACCACAAACCTGTTGATTTCCTTTTTAGGGTTTCCAATAACCTCTGCATTTATAGATAAGCAAACAATCAGGGTTTCCACCTTGAAACATTGTGTTGGATGGTAGATAAAAGATAGGTTTGACCTCTTCACCTGTAAGTGTCCCCAGGCAAGACAACTAATGACATTCTCAATGCTTTCCTATGGATGCTCTGTGCGATGGAGCCATAATATGCCTCCAGCGTTGCAGATGCGCCTCTAGTGGCTGTCCAGAAGACAGCCACTAGAGGTTGGCTTAACCCTGCAATGTAAACATAGCAGTTTCTCTGAAACTGCTATGTTTGCATCTGAAGGGTTAAAACCTGAGGGACCTGGCACCCAGACCACTTCATTGAGCTGAAGTGGTCTGGGTGACTATAGTGTCCCTTTAATATTCTGTGTGTCAATTATTTGTTGTCAGATATCCCTTTTCTATCATTGTAAAGCGCTGCGGAAAATGTTGACGCTAAATAAAAAAGCTAATACTAATTAGACCACCTTATCTTTCCATTTACATTAAAAATATATAATTCTTTATTTTGTGCTTTGATTAGTACCTTCCCAAGCTTCTTCTATTTTTAGACTTCATTACTTTACAAACCATTGTTTAGTCTATTCTTACACTTCATTTTTCAATGCCTCTGTTAAAATGTATTTTCTAACCTTACCAATACATTTTTATCCCTCTGTTTTCTGTTTTATATTTTTTTTAATATACCTGCTTGCTACCTTAATATAGAAAATGAAACTCTCACCTATAATATTTGAAGGATTCTATTATTTTATAAGTGAATATACTTTTGTTGTATTTTTATAACTTTCCATCATCTAGTTTTCTCTCTAAAAACAACTAAAATTGTATTAGGTACAATTAATACATCATTTTTATCTGGTGCCGTTCTTAACTTTCCCTTATTAAAATGTTTATATTGAAGCTTTTTCAGATGTTTAGGAGTGAAACCACATATTAACAATGGAACAATAAAGCGGGGAGTGGGGGGTTGGTTTACACATTTAATGTTTTCTTTAAGCTAAGCACAACAAACATCAATATTTTGTTTTACATTTAGTGGAAAAAGTTAAATACACTAAAACGTACAGATTTTTTTTTTTTTTAAAGTCAACTTTGGTACTTTGGAAAATATAAAATTGATCTTCTACGAGTAAAACAATATCATTAATAAGCATAAACTATTTTAAACTACAGAGATTACAGACCTTAAATAGACACAAATATATACTGCTATGAAATAGGAAGATAGCACTGCCCCGAATATAAATGTTTTAATTGGAGTACTGAAATACTTAAATATTATACACAGTCCATAAAGCAATCCTCATACATCCACATTATAAAGAAATATAATTATTTTCATGCTCGATTGAAAAAGAAAATAAATACCATGGCTCCCCTTATTTTTCACATGGGAGATTATTTTTTATGACCTTAAAACATGTATACTATTTATCGCAGAGACATGTCTCCCAATGTGCTATGGAGAGTTACAAAGGACTAACGCTACGAAAGACTTTGCGAATTAAAAAGAAATAATTCCTACATAAACAATATATGCATAAGTACACTGAAATATTTCTGAAAACGAACCTACCTCATTAAGGTTTAATACTTTCAGATTTCTTTTAGAGCGTTTTATCGTGTAACCGATATCTGCTAAACAGGAAGCCCAGTAAGTAAAACAATGTCGTTCAATTTAGCAAGAAAAAAAAAAGGACTGTACTTTCCTTTACAGTAATTTTGTAACGTTTGAGCTAGATGCTGTTGCCTGTGTTATTCATTAAGTGTGATGAGGTTTTTTTCTGTTCAATTGAAGAAAGAGAAAAACTGTTACAAAAATTCTTACTCTGACTGGAAAATTCATAGAAGAAACCGTGTTTCCAGTAATGACTTGTTTTATGAAGTGAAGAGGATTATTCACTAACGATTACGTGCCCCCTGTCCACGATAGCAAAATTAACACTATTTAAAGTTGCGGAACTATCTGGAGAGGATGCTGGTGCAAAAAAAAAAAAAATGTTCAGCCCCCCCCAGGGTTTACAAAAGGGAAGATCTCAAACATCTGTCAAACAACTCTCATAATGCTTAACCAGCTTTATATCTGCCATTTGCACATCCTTGCAGGGTTGTATTTGTGTGCTGTGCTTGTGTGTGAATGTAGACATGTATTTGTATAGAGTAAGTGTGTGAATGTGTGTGTGTTTCTATATATAGCCAGGGCCGGATTTACATGTCTGGTGCCAGTAAGCACAATATTTGACACCTGCTCCCCAGCCCCCCATAAAAGATAAACGACATAAGTATAATGCATTTATTAACTTGACATTGCAGTCCTAAAAATCTAAAAAGAAATTCATATTTGATAACTGCATATAAATAACTATATGTACCGTTAGTGTGTCTTTTCTGCGTTTAATATATTGTCTGAATCTGAATGTAATATAAAGGCTTAAAGGATTATTGAGTTTGTTTGTTGAGTGGGGTTGAATTTAGCATATGGGTACATGGGATGATTTAGGATTATTGAATTTAGGGCTAGAGATGAGTTAAACTTAGTAATGCTTAGTTTTTAAGATGAGTTCAACATAGAATTAAGGTTTATTTTCAGGTTTAAGGTTTGAGTGCTGGGGTGTGAAGGGTTATTTGCAAAGTATTCAGCCTCCTATGTCTTTTGTAAGACTCACAAATCAGGCTTAAAAAAATAATAATCGGTCTTTAGCCAAGCTTCCTATATATCCACGGTGTACATGTCTTTCTCTGCCGAACTACTGCTCTCTGCTCGCCCCTCTGACATCAGCCGATTTTATTTCGAAATCTCGTGTTACAACAATGTTGTATTCCTAACACTACGGTATCGTCTGGCCCCCCTCCCTCGGGGGACACATGCGCAGCAAGTGTCTTAAGTGCATTAGACCCTCCCCACAGGAAAGCCTGGAGCAGGCCCTGTGGCGGCTTTCCAGCTCCAGATCTCCCTATTCTTGTCTACTGGCTCTCAGTAATGGCTCCCGGCATGGGAGCACATGTGACCACGCTCAATCGGTGCAGTCACACTACTAATATCAAATGCTTATCTCAGTCACGGCGCATCACAGCCAGATCCTCCTGTACTGCAACCACCGGCGAATGCACCTTTCTAATGGACGCCGGCTAAGTAACCCCCTCTTCTGGCCAGGTTAAAGGTCACACGAATGTGGCCATTCTAAGGTCCTGTAATATGTTTATTTATATTTCTATTGTTTCTGTGTCTTATTTAATTCTGCGTGTTGGGCCACAGTATCGACCTGATACTTCCCAATACTCTATTACAGTGTGAGGGTCCACGGTGATCACACTGCTATGGCAAGATGTTATCATGGGCACTTTGACCAGTCTGTGGCTACACAGCCCCATACACAGCAAACTGTGATGCACTGTGTGTTCGGACACCTTTCTATTACAGTAGCTCTTCTGCGTGACGGGCTAACCTTTGCGTCTTGGGTGCCCACAACCCCGATGCTAGTTCACTGGTTTTCCTTCTTTACAATTTTGGTAGGTACTAACCATTGCATACTGGAAACACCTCAGAAGACTTGCCATTTTGGAGATGCTCTCACCAGTTGTCTAGTCATCACTACTTGGCCCTTGTCAAAGTCACTCAGATCTTTTTGTTTGCCCATTTTTCCTGCTTCCGTCACGTGAAATGTTAGAACTGACTGTTCACTTCCTGCCTAATATATTTCGCCCCTTGATAAGTGCCATTGTAACAATATAATCAATGTTATTCGCTTCACCTGTCAGTGGTCAGTGTATCTGCTAGGTCCTGTAAACCTGCAGGTCCACATGTAGGGTAGATTCCGGTGGGCTGTAAAAGCTTTATATATTTATATTCAGTGTGGGTGTGTTCCATAAACAATGACTTGAGGTGAAAAGTTAAATGGAAAACTTAGGCCCTAAGTTTAATTCTGCTCACATTTACATTCTTTCTCCTTCCAACTGAAGTAATCCTGGATACATGATATGTAAGAATTACATTCTCTATATGGCCCCCTTCCTGGTTCCTGTCACACTACACAATTTGCTTTAACCAATATAGATAATTATTTACATTTGCCAAGTCCACAAGTCACTAGTCTCTGTTAACATTTTTGACTCTGTGGACCATGTGCTTCTTCAAAAACTTCACAACCCACCGGGCCCAGATGGCTTGACCAATACCTATTACAAACAATTTGCGCCAATCCTAACCACCTACCTACAGAAAGTTTACAACCACGCCATACAAACAGGAAAATTGCCAAGCGAGATGCTGATGGCCCATGTTGCCACCCTACCCAAACCAGGGAAAACCCCTAATAGATGCCAGAACCTCCGCCCCATATCCCTACTAAACACTGACATCAAAATCATAGCAAAGATCTTCTCTAATATCACACGTCATTCCCTCCCTGATACAGTCGGACCAGGTAGGGTTCGTGGGAGGCAGACAGGGGGCAGATGGCACGAGGAAAACTTTAGATCTTCTTTACGAGATACAACGGAATAAAACCCCTAGCGTCCTACTATCACTAGACGCTGAGAAAGCCTTTGATAGGCTCCACTGGCCCTTTCTCATAGCAGTACTCAAAAAATGTGAATTCCCCCCACAATTCCTGTCGATTGTCACCGCACTTTACTCCTCACCAACTACCAAAGTGGTAAACGGAGGCTTCATTTCCAAACCGTTTCTTATATCTAACGGTTCTAGACAAGGTTGCCCCCTCTCCCCACTGCTTTACATTTTATCACTAGAACCCCTCGCACAAATGATAAGAGACAACCCGAGTTTACACGGTATTAAAGTCGAGAGTAGGGAATACAAATTGTCCTTATTTGCGGACGATATACTACTTACCCTGGAACAACCGCATATCTCCCTACCCAACTTCCACAAAATCCTTTCCAGATTTAGCGCTTGTTCCTACTATAAACTGAACATCTCTAAAACCCTAGCTATGGGTATTAATATCACGAACCAAGAAATGGCCACCCTCAAAGCCAGTTTCACTTATGATTGGCGACATGACCACCTCAAGTTTCTAGGGATCCTCTTCACCCCCTCCACAACCTCGCTGTACAAAGCAAACTACGCAAAACTATCCACAGAAATCAAGACCCTACTGCTCAGCTGGAAAGGCAAATATGTATCTTGGACCGGCCGGATAGCTTCTATTAAGATGGTGATCCTACCGAAGATTCAATACCTGTTCCGCACACTCCCGCTCAAGATCTCGAACAAGTACTTGGAAGATCTACAACGCATCTTGAATGAATTTGTATGGGACTACAAAAAATCTAGGGTGGCCCTCAGCACGATGTTCAAACCACATGCCAAGGGAGGAATGGGTCTACCAGACATTAAAAAATACTACAGAGCAGCACAGATAGCTCCAATCATCGCGGCTTCGCACCATAAAACCCCCTTACCTTGGGTCGAACTTGAGACGGTTAGAGCCGGCGGACTCACGCTCCCTACACTAGCCTGGATACCGGCGAACCGACGACCCTGCAAGTCAGCAATGCTACCAACAACGGCAACGACCCTTTCCATATGGGATAACTATTGCAGGAAGAGAGGGACAATATCGCCCCTCACACCAGCAACCCCAATAGAAGCTGTCCGACAATACATCCCAGACTTCAACCACAAACTCTGGCTCCGACACGGTATTCTCACACTATCGCAAGTACTACAGGGCGACAGCCTCAAACCATTCCCCGACATCTGCCAAGAATTTAGAATGCCTGCGATTGCAAACTTCTCCTACAATCAACTACAATCTTGGATAAACCTTCACAAACCGCGACGACCCACGAGTCCACCGGACCCTCACTGGCTTAAAATAACAGAGATATGCACGAAGACAAAACCGGCAACAAAACTCATCTCATTGATCTATACCTCAGAAAGCATAGACGCTCAAGCAAAGCCCACGTCGTTCCAAGTAACATGGGAACGAGACTTAGGATACAAACTCACGGACGAGACATGGCTAGATATCTTTCAAGCAAACAAAAAACTGACCCTCTGCACAACGCACACGGAACTCTCACGCAAACTTCTCTACCGGTGGTATCTAGTCCCCACGAGACTTAAACATAGTTATCCTGCGGCATCCGACACATGCTGGCGATGCCATGGAGACCGAGGAACCTTCCTGCACATATGGTGGCAATGTCCATTCCTACAACAGTACTGGTCACAAGTCCTAGACCTAACGATACGATGCACCCAAATACGCATTTCCCAGTCACCGGAACTATTCCTATTACTCCTGCTCCCCCAAACGCCCCAAACCCACACCAAATATTTGCTATACCACATCTGTATAGCAGCCCTCACTGTCATAAGCAGAAAATGGAAACAAACAACTGCCCCAACGATCCACCAATGCATCGAGGCGGTGGAAACAAACAAGGCTTACGAAAGTGCAGCACGGAAATCAAGACGGAGCGACCCCTTCTGGGCTAAGGCATGGGCCCTATGGGACAAAACCAAACCAAGCTGAACCTACAATACAACACCACGCCACGCGACCAAGACAACACACCTCCCCGATTGGAGGAACAAGCAACTCCCACACTCTGACTGGCTGGCCCACACATACCCACTGAGGCACACCTCTGTACGCACACCCCACACACGCCTGCTAACCATACACCTACACACCACGCACGCCACACGCACGTCCTCTACCCCCCGACCCACCCTGCCTACACTGCCCCATCTCCTACACAACAACCACTGTGTAACAAAAATTGAAATGTGAGACAAGGTTATTTGAAACATGAAGTGGTGGCACGTTGCCCACGAACTTACGTTGATGTTTAGTTATTATGGAACTATAAAAATCTTGGGCATAACAAATTATCCAGTTTATGTACTGTACTGCTCGGAATTGGAATGTCTTGTATATGCATTGCAACCCAGGTTACTCCACCGTAACCTTGATCCTCATAAGACAAATTTGCATGAATCCACCCCCCCCTTTTTTGCCTTCTGTACCCCCCCTCCTATGCCTCTTTAATGCAAAATAAAAATTGTCAAATCAAAAAAAAAAAAAAACTTCACAACCCCACATGTGACACTAATTTTTTCCGTGCTCTATTTTTAACTTCTCTATTTTAACATTTCGTGTTCTGACACATTGTCATCCTCACTATCTTACTCAGCTGTAGTTCCATTTCCCAAGGTTCACCTTTTGGACTTTTTTGATTTTCATTTGATGACCTTCTACATGTATATGGTTTTTCGATCTAGGCATGCTTATATATACCATTCTTCCTGAACTTTCTTCTCCTCGTTTGTATTTTTCTGTATCAAAACACAATATTATGAACTCGATGTTTCCCATATTTTCTACACACCCTTTTCATTAACTTAAAACATTTCAGCTCATGTTAACAAGTCTATTATAATTTTTATTTTATATTAACTTTTTCCATTCTGAATGGTCATTTGTAATTTTTTCCTTATACTGTCTTCCTGTATACCATGCAGTGTATTTAATTTATCATTTGCAAAGGCAACCCGTCTTTGTCCCTCCATTTCATCCACAGCTTTTATCGTATTCCCACGTCCAAGTACAACTTTCACTTATAAGGCTTCACATCAGTTTTATGCGATGCCCTATCTTCCAAGAGCTGAGAATTTACAGATGACCAGATTCTGTGGTTTTGGTTACTGCAGAAACCAGTACATGGCTGCTACTCACATCCTATAAACGATAAAATCTGATCAGCAGTAGCAGTAAGGCTAAATTCTGTTGTATATCCATACAGTAGATTGCCCTGGTGCATCCTTACCTTTTGATTGCTTCTCATTTGCTTACAAAATAAAAGGGAAATGGTTTCTTGCTTGTGAAAGGACTCCAACAATGGCTTCCATTCACTCATCTTTTCCATTATTTTATTGAGAAGCAGTCAATGAGAAAGGGGAGATCATGAAACTTTCTTCTTAGATTTAGTTTCCCACGCTAGTTTATCTTCCTCTTGGAAGTGGGAGACAGCAGAGGAGGGATAAAAGTAAGTAGCAGAATATTTGTGCTTTTTTTTGTGGCTGAAAATCAGGATATTATTTTCATACTATCTCAGATTGCGTATTTTTGCACTATAGGTCTTATTAACAGATAAACCTTTCATTACTGGAAGCTTTTACTCACTTGAGTAACAACAGGAAACACAGTGTTAGCTTCAGCAGAGAAGGATCAATTATTAGGTGACCCTACGCTATCATCTAGGGTCCAGGGATAAGTCAGGGACCCCAGAACCATAAATCTGCTTGGCCTTATTAACCATCCCTATATGAAGGATGAAGGGGAGCACCAAACTGGTAGCATGCCTACGCCCCCTAGGCTGTCACCTAGGGTCCAGGGATAAGTCAGGGACCCCAGAACCATAAATCTGCTTGGCCTTATTAATCATCCCTATATGAAGAATGAAGGAGAGCACCAAACTGGTAGCATGCCTTCGCTCCCTAGGCTGTCACCTAGGGTCCAGGGATAAGTCAGGGACCCCAGAACCATAAATCTGCTTGGACTTATTAACCATCCCTATATGAAGAATGAAAGGGAGCACCAAACTGGTAGCATGCCCACGCCCCCTAGGCTGTCACCTAGGGTCCAGGGATAAGTCAGGGACCCCAGAACCATAAATCTGCTTGGCCTTATTAATCATCCCTATATGAAGAATGAAGGGGACCTCCAAACTGGTAGCATGCCTACGCCCCCTAGGCTGTCACCTAGGGTCCAGGGATAAGTCAGGGACCCCAGAACCATAAATCTGCTTGGCCTTATTAATCATCCCTATATGAAGAATGAAGGAGAGCACCAAACTGGTAGCATGCCTACGCTCCCTAGGCTGTCACCTAGGGTCCAGGGATAAGTCAGGGACCCCAGAACCATAAATCTGCGTGGACTTATTAACCATCCCTATATAAAGAATGAAAGGGAGCACCAAACTGGTAGCATGCCCACGCCCCCTAGGCTGTCACCTAGGGTCCAGGGATAAGTCAGGGACCCCAGAACCATAAATCTGCTTGGCCTTATTAATCACCCCTATATGAAGAATGAAGGGGACCACCAAACTGGTAGCATGCCTACGCCCCCTAGGCTGTCACCTAGGGTCCAGGGATAAGTCAGGGACCACAGGGCCATAAATCTGCTTGGCCTTATTAACCATCCCTATATGAAGAATGAAGGGGAGTCCAAACTGGTAAACTGCCTCGGGCCCTGTGAGATTTTAATCTTCTCTGAGATCCAGGCAGGTAGTGTTTTAGAGTATGTATTGTTTAATATATGTCAGCAGAAGTTAGACAAATTTGGTTTTCTCTTATCTGAATTCATCTTCCGTGAAATTGTTCTGTCAACGTTAATCTTTTAACCACTTCCTAAACCCTCCACATTTTAGTGTCTTTAATAAAATGTCAGTGGTTGTGACACGATCTGTTGTATTACTAAAAGGGCAATCCTGGTGCAATGCTACCCAAGTTTTTTTAATGCATTAAATGATTATTGCATCAAAAATATGCACACACAAAAAAAATAAATTCCAAATTATGAAAATAAGTTCTACTTACTTAGAAAGTTGTGAAATTTTCCACGTCTCGCAGCTTAAATAGTGAGCTATGGCCAAGCCATGCAGTGTCTTAGCTAGAATCTTGTCTCAGGAGGCTTTCATTGCAGTTATAAGGAGTGCCAAACGAGTCAACATTGGACCTTAAACTTAGTTTCACTATTTCTATAGTGTTGATATAAGCCAAGTGATTTAGGATCGAAGGTTAATCTAACTATATATATGAGATTAACCAGAAGTTCTTTTAAAGTTTTGAACAAACCACTAAAGACAGATGTGTAGAGCTCCACCCTAAAAATTCCAAGAAATGGCAGATTGTGGTTAAGGTTTCATCGTTTTACTTCCTGACCAAACTGCCTGTACATTATGAAGAAAATAACATAACACTTAGTGAATATTGTGTAGTATCGTAGTAAATTTCAAACTTAAGGTCAAATTAAAAATTTCTATAAGTTTGCCTACTCTGGCCTCAAATTTAAAATTCAGATTCGATTCACTTTGAATACTCACTTGAGTAAATAATCCTAACCGTGTTCAAGCAAGTTTGGTGTCTCATTTTGGCCTCATCTCTTCCTTGAATTATTTGGTATTAAATATAGTGAGGAATTCTGAGAAACAGAAAAAAACATTTGTTTCCAGTGTTATGCGAACATGCCTGAAATAAAATGATGGATACATTTATCTGAAATAGAATATCTCTGTATCCCATCTCACAGGGAGGCTAGACCCTTGATAGTATGAATCCAGAAAAGGTGCTGGAAACATTTGTTAGAGCTCCGTAGTCCCCGATACATCATTACAGCATGGATTTGATGTCAGTTGCACGTTCTTGCTACAAATCTCCCATTTCATCACATCCAAAAATGCTCTTTTGGATTGGAATTTGATAACTGTGGAGTACACAATGAACTCAATGTTAAGGGACCCATCAATTTTACGTGTTTTGTGATACGGTGTCAGGGGCGGACTGAGAACCCTCAGGGCCCCCGGGCAAAATAAATCAAGGGCCCCCTTACAGGCCCCACCCATACTCTGCAGCAAGCGCCACCCTTGTCCCGCCTCCATGCACCGCCTCCAGCCACACCCTACACAAGGAACAAAAGGGCAATAAGCCCTTCGAGGCCCCAGCAGAGACTACAATTGAGGGCTAATGGGCCATGGAGGGGGGTCTTTCTAGCGGAGGCTATCTCAGTGTCCTTTAGAGAGTGTGTTAGAAAGAATCCCCTCAAGGCCCCATTAGAGACTACAATGGAGTCTAATAGGCTTGGAAGGGGGTCTTTCTAACAGAGGCCATCTCAGCGTCCATTAGATATCCCCTGCTGGAACAGTCGCCTCCAGGCCCCAGTAGAGACTACAATTGAGGGCTAATGGGCCATGGAGGGGATTTCTAGCAGAGGCTATCTCAGTGTCCTTTAGAGAGTGTGTTAGAAAGAATCTCCTCCAGGCCCCATTAGAGACTACAATGGAGTCTAATGGGGCCTGGAGGGTGGTCTCTCCAACACTCTGGTTCCTATTCACAATATAGCAACACAACATAGCTCACTGATACCTAGGCCAAGTTGGCTCCTCTTACCTTAATTACTGTTGCTGGCTGGCAGTCTGTGGGCTTGCTTGGCTGCGGCTGGCAGGCTGTGGGCTTGCTGGCTACTGCCGGCAGGCTAGCTTACTGACTGGGCTGGCAGGCTGCAGCTTGCTGGCTGTAAGCCTGTGGCTTGCTATGAGCACAATGGTGGCTACTGGCCTGTGGGCTGGCTAACTGTGGCTTGCTGTAGGCCTGTGGGCTGGCTACTGGCCTGTGGGCTGGCTAACTGGCTGGCTACTGGCCAGCCTGTGGGCTGGCTAACTGGCTGGCTACTGGCCAGCCTGTGGGTTGGCTGGCTGGCTACTGGGGCACTTGTAGATTATTTAAAGAAATAATCCATGCATAATAACCACTACTGCTCCAGAGTAAGTAGTCAAACCATTTAAGAACAGTTTGACAACTTACCTGGGATCTGCTGGGATATGGGGCTGTAGTAGGGAATAGGAGCAGTGGTGCAATGGGTGTGAAAGGTTCAGTGTGTGTGGGGGGTGTAGTGTGTGAATGTGTAGGGTGTGTGGGCTGTGTACGTGTGTGGCAATGTTAGTATGGGGGGCTGTGTATGGGGGTCTATGTGTATATGGGTGGGCAGTGTATGTGTGTGTGTGAAGCAATGTGTGTAAATGTGTATGGTGTGTATGGGGGCAGTGTGTGAATGTGTATGGTGTGTGTGTGGGGGCAGTGTGTTTATGGGGCTAGAGTTCACTCTCACCACTGCGACCACCAGGAATCCCTGGGGGGTCACAGTGTTGAGAGTGAACACTAGACCGTACCTCCAGGGCTAGAGTTGACTCTCGCAAGAGCGGTAACGTTGCCATGGTAATCGCGGCAACGCTCTGTGCTCTTGCAAGAAGGACCCAGAGGAGCTCCTCTTCCTCCCCTGCCCGCACGGTGCCTGCGGACAGGGGAGGGAGGGCAATTGCCCTGTTGCCCCCCTGGATCCACCAGTGATATATACAGCCCTTCTGTGTGCCTTTTTGTCTCCCCCCGTCCCTCTGTATGTTTCTTTCTCCCCCCTCCTTCCGAGTCTCTCTTACCCCTCTGCCTCTTTCTCCCTCTCTTCCACTGATTTTCTCCCCCCTTTCCCTGTCTCTCTCTCTCTCCCCCACATCTCTCTTCCTCTCTGTCTCTTTCTCCCCCTCCCCATCTCTTTCTCCCCCTGTGTCTCTTTCTCCCCCTCCCTATCTCTCTATTCCCCGTTTCTCCCCGTGTCTCATTCTTCCCTCTCTGTCTGTCTCCCCCCTCCCCATATCTCTGTTCCCCCCTCTTTCCATATCTCTGTTCCCCCCTCTTTCTCCCCCCTCCCCATATCTCTGTTCCCCCCTCTTTCTCCCCTCTCCCCATATCTCTGTTCCCCCCTCTTTCTCCCCTCTCCCCATATCTCTGTTCCCCCC